TTCCTGCTTTTACTTGTTTTTTATTCTCTGCTTTTATTTTTTCTGTGTTTTTACTGTATTTTTTTGATTGAATATGTTTTGTGTATGGGCTGTGTTGGAATGTTGATTCTGTACAGCACTTTGGTCTGCTGTGGTGCAAAAAGTGCTTTACAAATAAAGCTGGATTAGATTAACATCTGGCACCTGTCAGGCTCCATAATCCAGCATTTCATTTGTAGCATCATTATTATGAAGAGGCTGTGATGTGTAATGTATTAAAGATTATTATAATATATTATTATACTTTGTGTTTTCACAGGCACTAAAAGAGACAGCAAGCACGACAACCGTCTGTACATCAACCTGCCCCCCCAGCGACAGGAGGAGGTGGAGCGCCTCCTGCAGGAGGGCAGCGGCTGGGGGTGGAGGCACCTGGGCGGGGCGCTGGGCTACGAGCCCGAACAGCTGGACCTGTTCGGACGAGGCGAGGCTCCGGCCCGCACGCTCCTCTCTAACTGGGCCCAGAGGGACGGCTCCACCCTGGGGCTGCTGTTCTCTGCGCTGGCCCGTATCGAGAGACCCGACGTGGCCGCGGCGCTGAACTCCACCTCTCAGGGGGCCTCTGTGGTCTGACGGCCTGTTGTCTCTGAGAGACGCTCACAGACTGAAGAACCTGAACGTGAAACGGGACAAACTGTCACTGGAAGCTACCGTACTCAGTTTTCACTTCTGCAACAAACAAGAAAAGTGATGCTTATTACAAAATATAATAATGATCCATAAAGGCACAGAAATGATGTCATTATTCAGCAAATAGTAGCAGAATGTGCTGCGTCAGCGTTAAAAACAGCTGTTAGATTATCCTTTTCCCAACTCATCTGAACTATTCCTCCTGTGCTGTCGTCATGGTGCTACGGAGCCCGCGAGGAGACATGGGATTTTTTTTTCTTTTTCATTCCCACGCAAAAATACTGCGTTACCTCGCAATACTTTTGCGTTACCTCATAATACTTTTGCATTACCTCGCAATACTTTTGCGTTACCTCGCAATACTTTTGCGTTTTCTCGCAATACTTTTGCATTCCCTCGCAATACTTTTGCGTTACCTCGCAATACTTTTGCGTTTTCTCGCAATACTTTT